CATGATTGGAAAATCCCATTTGTCCAGGTTTGTCCATGGAAAAATCCCAAATCCCAAACGTTTGTGCGGCATGTATACTCCTGGATAATAAAGATTTGGATGACGATTTTGAAGGGCAAGCAAGATTTCAACTTGAATTTAATATTAATTCGGAATCGATTGATGAAGTTCTAATTAATGCAGATCAAGATAGAAACTTGTGTATCGCCAACCTTGTTATTAACGAAATTAGTAACGGTGACGGTTATATATATGTACATCAATCAACATATAATAATAAAAAACGAGACTTTGTAACATTTACATACTGGTGCAATGCACGAAATGAGTTACACAAATATCATAAAAAGTTGATGATATATCAAAGCAACGTAGTACTGAAGCATTCATCGAACGCTATAATTGTAAAGGTGTGGTTGTAATTAAAGTTAATTCCAAGAATAATATTATATTCGTTAAGATGTCTCATGATCTTCTGCATCCACGGCCTGAAAAATTCAATGTAACAACGGAAATAAAAGATTATATTAACACTTGCATTCGACAAAATGTTCCTGATATCTATCAATTAATTAAAGATCAAAATATAAAAGGATATGAGTCTTTAACGATTAAGCAGGTGCATTACTGGTGGTCAAAAATGGTACAGGCAGAATATCGATCTTCTGATGATGAGCTCGCTTCTGTAAGATTATTTCTTCAAAACCAAAAACAGGAACTTCTTTTTTGAATATGCTTTTGCTTTTGTAATTGCATTTCTTGATATTTTGCCATTAGGCAATTTAATAGAATTTATGGTAGACGCGACGTATAATACCAATAAGAGTAAATATGAATTATATAGGACCATGGTGATTATTGATAGTACAGAGTTTCCCATCTCTTATTTGTTTATATCACCTGGTAGAAATTGCAATGTTACAGGAATTCTTATGACATGGTTTTCAATGTTGAAGGCAAAAGGATTGGTTAATGTCGGCATATTTTATACAGATAAGGACATGTCACAAATTAATGCAGCAAAGGCTACTTGGACTAACGTAAAGATACAGTTATGTTTGTGGCACATTAAGCGTGCAATAGAACAAAAACTGTCATCGCGTGCAAAAATGCAAATAGTAAGGTATAATTTGATCGAAGCATATGAACAATGTCCTATAATAGATTCTTCGTGGCAACCAATTATATTTAATGAAATAAACCAAACAAATGTGGATAATTCAAGTTAACTCGCTAATAAAGAAATTCGTATGCAAATAAAACATCTTATAACAAAGCATTTTAATCATCACATGCTTATACCTAAAGAAGACAAGACATTTATAAATAATAAAGATGTAATCTGGGTTGAATATGTTACAGAAATTTATACATATTGTCATAATAATAATTTAATCATGGTATAGGCATATCTCTGGTGCGAATGGTATTCTCAAAAGCACTGGTGTTTTTGGACACAATCATCATTTGACGATATTGACATTTTACACACTACGATGGTGATTGAATCACATTGGAGATTTCTAAAAAGAAATTATCTTTATAAGTTCAATCGTCCCCATTTGGATTTGCTATGCTTCATTATTATAAAAAAGGCATGTATTTCTATATTTATTAATTTATATTTTGAATTAATTATTTTTTTTATACATTCTAATTTAGGCTGTCGCTCATCAAATTGATACATTTAAATTACTATGCCGTGGATGTCAACTTACTTCATGGCGAAAAGAATTCCAAAAAGAATAGAATTTAGTAGCATCACAATCTTGTAACTTCGAACAGTATCTAACAAATCATGAATGCTGGTTTTGTTCATGTTCTTACTTTGCAATAAACCGATTTTTTTTATGTAAACATCTAGTAGTTCCAATTGGTTCGAAACCGCATTCATTTTTTTATAATGTATTATTATAT